GAAAGTCTAAATAAATGAGACATACTATGCACATGGATTAGAAGATTTAATATTATAGAGAAGTCAGTTCCCCATATCAATCTATAGATTCCAGACAATGTCAGTCAAAATCCTAGCAGTTCAGATGTGTTTGTGTGTGTTTAACTTAGCTCTTCAACTTAACAAATAGCTAGGAATAACCATGAAGTAGGAAGAAGAAAATAAGGAGGAGAAAGAACAGGAAGAAGAGAAAGTAGGGGGAGACAAGGAAGAGAAAAACAATTATAACAAGGTAGAAAGACTTGCACTGAAGGATATAAAGTTTTACTATTAAGCTACATTAATTCTGACAGTGTGGTTTTGGGAAAAAGAAAAACACACTAATTAAACTAAATAAAGAACTCAGAGATAGAACCGTCCTTAAATAAACACTTGGTTTATGACAAAAATGTACCAAGCAGTAAGAAGAGGACAATCTTTTCAATAAATGATGTTTAGTCTACTATCCATTGAGGAAAAAATTGACCCTTACCTCACACCATACAGAAAAATTAATTTCAGATACAACTACATGTAAATGGTAAAATTTTGAAAACAAAGTATTGCCCAAAATGTGGAATAGAGACAAAAAGAACTCTCATACATTGGTAATGGGAGTATAAGTTAGTACAACTCTTTTCGGAAAATTGTTTGCCATCATCCATTAAAATTAGATATATGCTGGGGAGAGGGAGATGAAAAAATTAGATATGTGCACACCCTTTGATCCACCAATCCCACACTAGGCATATATCTAACAGAAATGCGTGCGTGCACACACCAAAAGATACATAGAAGGATGTTCACAGCAGCATTACTTATAAGAGCCAAAAAGTTGGAACAACACAAATATCCATTAATAGTAAACTCAATACATACACTGTAGTACATTAATTTTGTAGAATATATATAGCAATAAAAATGAACAAAACACAGTTTTGCTCAACCCATAAACAAATCACACACACATGCGCGCACACACACATAAATAATGTATGATCCCATTTATTTACAATTCAAAAATTGGCAAAACTAATCTTGGATGTTCAAAGTCAACTTAGTGGTTACCTTTGGGATAGAAGGAGCACGTAATCATGGTGGTAAATATGAGGGAGATGTTCCCCATATACTAAAAATTTGTGTGCTTTTCCATATGCTTATAATGTACAAATAAAAAAGTTTAAAATACCTTTTTTAAATTTGTGGAGATTTTACAAAAGATATAAATAAGAACTCAATAATGGAGAAAGTATGACATAAAAGTACTGGTAGACCTTCTACTTGTACACAACTCAAGAATCCAAGTGTACTAAGGTAAGGTTAGATATCTGGTAGCCTACACCAAAGTCTAACCTTGTAGTGCTTATCTTTAGTTAAGTTTTATCACTTCTGCAGCAAACTGTCTTGGAAATGTAGATCTTGTGCCACATCTTTCATTCCACAGTACAGATGGAAACCACTCAACAGCCAGCGCTGATCTAAATTATTTACTACTCAATACACAGTCACATACATACAAAAAAAAAAAAATGCTAAATATTTTCTTTCTCGCCTACAGAAGCAGAGTGTTCTAGAACAATAGAATGGCTATTTCCATTCCCAAGAAACTTCTTGTAATTTTTCATCCTTAAGACTCATATTCAATGACCAAACTAATTGAAGTAGTTTTGTTGTTGATAAATAGTAATAAGCCCCAAGGAGGTAAACATTGCATATTACCAAATCCTCACTATTCAATCTTCATATCAACTGTAATTATTCCTATGTTACTGTGCTTATAAAGAAACAATTTATATACACATATGTAAACTTAAAATAATGGCTAATTACTAACAATCATTAAATCTAGGTGGCTATAGGTATGTTCATAGTGTTATTCTTTGAACTTTTCTGTATTTTAAAAATGTCATAATGAAAGCTTGGGAGGGAAACCTTGTATAATTATATACAATATGAGCTCTATTTTGTTCTAAAATATGCATCAAAAAACTAGAGAGAAATATACCAAAATGTTAACACTGGTCATCTCTGGGTAGTAACATTCTTTTTTCCTTCTTATATATTTCTATAATTGTTCTAAAAGCAATGCTTCCTTTTAAAAATTAATTTTACTTTTTAAAAAAGAAAAATTTTTGTCCCTAAGAAAGTATTTTAAAAAGTTCTTTTTAAAAAAGAAAAATTCTGGTCCCTAAGAAAGTATTTTATATTTGAGTTTCTAAGCCCATAAAATCTGTATCCAAATAATTTTTATTATTAAGAGTAATGTATATTTAGAGTCAGAGTAACATCTAAATACTGATGATACCCTTCAGTGCATCTTTCATTGTGGCAGATGTTGTAGAAAATTTCTAATGCTCCTGCCAAAGTTTAATTAAGGGACTGAATTCACAGAAGTGATGTCACACTGTTAGAACAGAAAAATGTGGGTTTTCAATGAACATAATCTAAGTCCAAATTCAAGCTGTGCTCCCTTATTATCTGTGTGAATTTAAGGATGTTACTCAAACTCTGTGTCTCATTCGTCACCTGTAACATGGAAATAAAATCTACATCTCAAGATTTTTTTGTAAGGATTAATTGAGAAAATGTCTGTAAAACTCAATATGATGCTTGGTCCATAATTGTGCTCAGTCAGGAGAAGGTTAAAATATTAAGTGACATGGAAGCAGCTAGAACAATGTCTGACAAACAGCCATTGCTAGATCAATAGTAATATATGGGCCAGAATGATTCATTTTTTCCCACGATTTCTTGTTCCCCGCATAGAATGCCACAGTCAACTAGAATGGGGGTTCCAAGAGAGTCGCTACCCCAAGGCCTTGGCCAGTGCTTGGCAGGAAGCAGGCACATAATGACGCACTGTTGAAAGAAATGGAAGTGGATGGAGGTAGGATCACAGGAATGGACTGAAGAATGGAAGCTGGCAGACAGACACATCTTGTTCAGGTAAGCCAAGAAAAGATGAAAGAGTGGCTCTGATCTCAGTAGGCCTAGACTGAGCTATTCTGGGGAGACACGGTTGACTGGCTCTTCGCAGCAGGTAGGGTCTCAGGGGTAAACGGAAGCTGCTGGCAGTTTGGCAGGCTTCTGGGATGCTCTGAACAGGCAAACCTCATCATGCGGCTTCTCCGTTTAAAACTTGTCAGTGGCTTCCTTTTGCTGTTAGGATAAAATCCCAACTCCTTCACGGCCCTTGCCAGGCTTTCTGCTTATCTCGAGCTGCTCTCCTGTCAGTCCATCGTCTGGCTACACACGACCTTTTCCGGTTCCTAAATAGGATCGTGCTATATCTGGCCTCCAAGTCTGAACCCATGTGTTCCTTCTGCCTCAAATTTCCATTTTATCCACTCAGGATTCACTCTCCCTTTGACAACTAGAGTGTACATATCTTTCAGGTATCAGCTTCCATGTCACTCACTGGATAATCTTCCTTGACAACTTAACCCTCCCCAAACTTGCCCACCGTCAGGGCGAGGTCAGAGGCCTCTGCTGCATATTCCCACAGCTCTTTCTATTTGTTCTGCCTTAGCCCCTGTTACAATGTAAGGCAGTTTCCTGGTCTTTTCCGGAAAACTGACATGTCCACACATAGTGATTTCAGTCGGCTTTTTTCATCACTTTACTGCTCGGTGCCTAGAATAACATCTAGGATAACATCGGTCGACACCCCATAAACATTTGTTGAATAAGTGATCAGTTTCCATATCCAGATGGCAGTAAGCTCCATGGGGTCTGGTTCTGAATCAGTTCTTACAGCATCAGCAAACATTACCTGGCACAATAATTACTCTTCAAATATTTATCAAACAAATTTCATTTGATACTGGTTCCCCGTTCATATATCATGTAATGTATATTACAGGGATCTACTGAGAAGTTGAATATTTCCACCATTTCATTTATTTTATTAATGCTTCCAAATTTTTCGTTTTTATATTCAAATTATCCACTTAGCAACATTTAAACATTCTCTACTATCCATGATTTAAAACACCAATAATACTGATTTCCATTTTTTTAAAAAGTGCTTACTATTTACCTTCATTGTTTTAATTAACATTTTTACTACCACTAAAGCCAGTATTATTTGTTCTGAATTGAGAATAAGCCCACCAAAGACCACCAAAGCCCAAAAAACAGTTGTTAACATCTCTTAACACTTGGCTTTCATCAGGAATACAAATCAGACATCTGAATTAAGTTAAATCCCCTGTGAATCACCTCAAATCATCTTTGGGAAGACAAGTAATACCAAGAAAGAAGGAGATTCTCAGAGCATCAGTGTACAATTTCATAATAACTTGAATAAAGGCTAACTTTGCCAAAATATTCACTTCTCCTGTTTTCATGAAAGTATGTAAACAACTAAGTGGGGCGAGAAGGCAGTCAGGGGCATCAGAAATTCCATTAGCCATAGGTTCTTTCTTTGATTTTACAATATATGAACATAAACAAAAGGCCCTAAGGCTTGTTTGGTAAATATATGTCTTTACATTTAAATTCAATGTTTACATCTTGGTTATTAGTTACACAAATATTCACCAACTGTTGACTCTTTCTGTCCAACTACGCTGTCACGGTCACTTCATTTTTATTAAGTGTACGAACTGGTAATGTCGAACATGCAAGTCTTCTTCTCCAAGCAGAATTAGCCAGCTGAGGCTTTGCTAAATGGTAGGCAAATCAGCAGCAACATTCACTGCTCACACCTTTGATTGAGTTTAGCGATAGTTAGGACCCCAGGCCAGGTGTACAGCGAATGAGACTAAGACTTAGGCTATTTGCTGCGATGTCATAAATGCTTTTGAAATTGATTTTCATTATTTTATTTTATAACATCTAGTTTCCGAAAGGATTTATGACATGTCCCAAGGCACATAAATATAATCCAGCAAGATTAAAAAAAAATAATAATAAGTAGGTGAGGCAAATACGGCATAAGAGAATTAAAATGGGGCATCACAGGGCTATTCTCTTCTTACCTGTGTACTGCAAGCCCCTGTATTCACTTATTGCCCCAGGAGGTTTTAAATTGGGCCAGTAATGGAATAGCATTTGTACAGCCGGAGGTTTCACTTGTGAAGGCCCATAGGCAATCACGTATAAAAGATCCTAAAGGAAACAGGAAGCATGTTTTGACTTAGCATCATCAATTACAAATAAAAACAGCTCACTTAATATTACCAAAGCAGTGAAAATTCCAATAGAAGGGTTGGGTGATTAATTTCCCTGACATTTCATTATCTACGTGTTTCTCAGATGAGGTCACATTAAAACATTATTTTTTATTACTTATTTATTGGTTCTGTAAATAAGCCCTCCCTAATTCCCCTTCCAGGTAATGGGCAAAACTACACTGTCTTTTAACAAATTCTTCTCTACCCAGGATGTTAAAGAAAGATTTTAGAACAACAGAAACCAGTTTGCCAGACACTGCATTTTTAAAAATATTTTCCTAAAACATATTTCATAACAATTCACATCTTCTATTTGAAAGAAGACAGGTTCTTGAGTACCATTTCAAATTAAATACAATTATCATGTAATATAGTATTTGCTGAATTCTAAGAGTAAGAGACATCCAATTACTTTTTTTGTCAGGCTACTGTGTTTGTCAATATCATTTCTGCTTTAAATAATAAGTTAACCGGGAAGGAAAGGATTCCAAGTTCTGCCACACCCAAATAATAAGACATCAATAAATTTGACCTGTCTTTTGTGAACAATTTTTACTATAAATAAAGTTTGTGGAAATAAATTAAATTTGGCCCAAAACTTACTTTCCAGACTTCTTGCTTATATTTCATGAGGCATTCCAATAATTGACAATGATACACTGTGAGGAAGAAAATATAATTTGAACATGAATTATAAATACTAGATAAAATATCCTTTGAGATATAATAAAATATATTAGTATGACTTTCACTCTAATCGTTAAGTCAGAAGTTACTTATTTCCAAAAGAATAAAACTGGATCACTATCTTACACATACATAAGAATAAACTCAAAATGGGGCTCAGTTGGTTGAGTGCCTAACTTTTGATTTCTGCTCAGGTAATGATCTCATGGTTCCTGGAATCAAGCCCTCCCCCACCCCCCACCCCCCATCTGGAGCCTCTTAGAATTCTCTCTCCCTCTTTCTCTGCCCCTTCCCAGCTCATGTGTATGCACATGCCCACTCTCTCTCTCTCAAAATACACAATATTTTTTTTTAAAAAACAATAAATTCAAAATGGATTAAAGACCTAAATGTGAGACCTAAAACCATATAACTCCTAAAAGGAAACATAGGTAGTAAACTCTTGGACATCAGCCTTAGCAACATATTTAAGGTTCTGTCTCTTTAGGCAAGACAACAAAAGCAAAAATTAACAAATGGGCCTACACCAAAATAAAAAGCTTTTGCACGTTAAAGGAAACCATCAACAAAACAAAAAGGGAACCTAATAAGTGGGATAAGATATTTGCAAATAATATATCTGATAAGGGATTAATATCCAAAACATATAGAGAATTTACACAATTCAACACCAGAAAAACCCAAATAATTTTATTAAAATATGGGCAGAGGACCTGAACAGACACACAGATAGCCAACAGACACATGAAAAGATGCTCAACATCACGCATCATAAGGGAAATGCAAATCAAAACTCCAATGAGAGATCACCTTACACCTGTCAGAATTGCTAGCATCACAAAGGCAAGTAATTACAAGTATTGGTGAGGACACAGAGGAAAGGGGACCTTTGTGCACTGTTGGTGGGAATATAAATTGGTACAACCCCTTTGGAAAACAATATGGATGCCCCTAAAAATATTAAAAATAGAAAAACACCATATGCTTCAGTAATTCCACTACTGGGTATTTACCCAAAGAAAACAAAAACACTAATTTGAAAAGATACATGCAATCCTATGTTTATTGCAACAGCATTTACAAAAGCCAAGATATAGCAGCAATCTAAGTGTTCATTAATAGCTGAATTGATAAATAAGATGTGGATATAATATACAAAATGGAATATTATTCAGCCATAAAAAAGAATGTAATCTTGCCATTTGTGAAAACATGGACAGAACCAGAGGATACTACACTAAGTGAAATAAGTCAGACAAGGAAAGACAAATACCATATGATTTCACTTATATGTGGAATCTAAAAATCAAAACAAACAAACAAGCAGAAACAGACTCATAAATATAGAGAACAAACTGGCAGATGCCAGAGGAAAGAGGGGTGAAGGATGGGCAAAATAGGTGAAAGAGATTAAGAGGCAGAAACTTCCAGTTATAAAATAAATAAGTCATGGAGATATAAAGTACAGCATAGGGAATACAGTCAATAATATTTTAATAATATCGTATGGTGACAGATGGTGACCATACCTATCACAGTAATGTACAGAATTGTTGAATCACTATGTTGTACCCCTGAAACTGATATAGTTGTAAGTCAGCTATACTTCCATAATAAAATTTTTTAATAATAACAAAAATTAAAATAAAACATAAATATATATTTATATATTTAAATAACAAAAGTAAAATAAAAAAATTACTTATGTCCTTATAGTATTCAGACATTTCAAAAATCATGTAAGCCCTTGACTTTATCAAGCCTTTTCTGAGATCCTTCATCTTATTAACAAAAGAAATATTAAAGAAAATCCCTAGTAATAAAAATTATAGAATATAAACTTATTTCAATGTGATCAAAAACTACACAGGATAAAAAATTGCCCAATAGGATTGCAATAAAACCTCATGTTTATGGAGGGTTCATTACATGCTGGGTATTGTGCTGAAAGTCTTATATGTATTATCTCATAACTACCACATTGCACTAAGGAAACAGGCTTAGTTTCCTGTCTTGCTCAAGGTTAAACAAATAGCAAGTAACAGACTGATGGATTAGAATGGGAGTCTTCTACCATGCAGTGACCAATTTTACCATGTTGAGGAATTCTTAGAAGCCACGCAACAGCAAGCTTTTTGATTTGCCTGTGTTTACTTGTGAGAGAAAGAGACCTTCACCTAGTTAGACATACATGTTTTGTATATTCCCGAATCTGTCGTCCAACCCCATCACAGCAATGAAACAGGCTTCACTTTAATCACTGATGATCTCTGTGTCATTCAATTCAATTCACATACTTCAGTCTGCCTCTTAATTGACCTTCAGAAGCACTCATTAGTGCTGACCACTGTCTCCTTTTCAAAATACTCTCTTCCCAGGGAACCTGGGAAGGTTGAGCCCAGTCAGTTGAGTGTCAACTTCATCTGAAGTCATGATCTCTAGTTAGTGAGTTTGAGCCCTGCATCAGGCTCCCTGCTATCAGCCTCCTTCTGATCCTTTGTCCCCTTCCCTCTCTCTGCCCCTTGGGCAGATGTTTAATAAACATTTAAGTGTTTATTAACATGACTTGACTTCATGACTAACCTTCTTTTATTATCTGTGGCTGATAGTGTCGTTGCTACTCAAACACTATCAACAGCCCTTTCTTCCTTGTGTATCTCCCAACCCACAGACTACAAAGCAAGTAGTCCCAGAGCCCCTGGCAGCTAGTGATGGCCATGCGACTCAGCCCTGGCAAGTAAGACCTAAAAGAGAATCCTCTCGAGGGCTTCTGAAACATTTTTCCTCTGATAAAAGAGGGACAACAGGTGATCTTTCTCTAATTACCCTGACTGATCCTGTTACCTGCTTGTGGCTGTGACTACATAAGAATATAACAATTCCCACTGTGGCAGTCATCTTGCAAATATGAGGGGAAGCCCAAGAGAAACACAAAGCTGCCACTGCAGTCCCCTGATGCTGCGGCGCTATCTGCAAGACTTCCTACTAAGTAAACAAAGTAAACAACAAATGTGCTTGTCATTCAAAACACATCCTAACAGGTACAACATCTCTGTTTCCTTGGCAAGCTCATCCTCTTCCACTAGACCTTTATCTGTTGGAGTTCCTGAAAGCCCAATCATAAGCCCACTTCACTTTTCATTCTATGGTCTCTCCTAAGCAATCTCACACTCATATACAACTTCAGTTACGATCCACATGCAATTCAATAAAGGTCACTGAACACTTATGAGTAGGTTCAAGGTTTATGATCTCTAGCCCAGAGCTCTGTACTGAGTTCCAGACTCATAATTCAACTTCCTAATTACCATTGCCTCTTTTTTAGTGGGGAAGCTGATTTATTTGCAGTGTTGTGTTTTGGTCATATAGAATTATTACTGAGATTATGTGTGCAGGGTTTTTATTCCCAGTTTTATTGAGATACAATTGACATTTAACATCGTATTAATCCAAGATATACCATCTCCCCCTCAACCCCTCAAAGACACCTTGAACACAACATGTCCAAAACAGATCTCATGAGCTTCCCTCAGAAGTCTGGTTTTCTTCTTCCAGTGTCTCCTTTCACAATGAATAGAACCACATGCATCCAGTGATGCAAGCCAAAAATTCTCTATATCTAATATGTCACCAACTCCTATCAATTTTACTTTTTAAATACTACTTTTCTTGGTCTCAACTGCCCCTAACTTTTACATGCACATGAGGTCTCCTCAAGGGTCAATCTACAACCACTCTGGTTCCTTTATTTATTTATTAGAGACACAGAGAGAGAGAGACAGAGAGAGAGAGAGAGAACGTGCACACAAGTAGGGGAGGAACAAAGAGAGATAGGGAGACACAGAATATGAAGCAGGCTCCAGGCTCTGAGCTGTCAGCACAGAACCCGATGCGGGGCTCAAACCCATGAACCGCAAGATCATGACTGGAGCCGAAGTCAGACATTTTACTCACTGAGCCACCCAGTCATCCATTCTAGTTTCTTTTAAATCTATTCTCAACTGCAGTCAGTGTGACACACGTACAACCACCCAAAGTCCTTCAGAGCCTTCACGTTAGACTCAGGATAAACACAGAACTCCCAAACAGCCCACATATGCTGCATGTCCTGGCCCACAGACTTTCACCATCTTAGCTCCCATGAGGCAGCCCTCACTCGAGCTCCAGCTGTACCAATCTCTCAGTCCCGCCAGCTTACCAGGCTCCCTTCTAACACAGGAGACTCTTCTACTTGAACCCCCTATCCCTTGTAGGCCTTGTGAATGCTACTCATGCTTCAGTCCTCAGACCAAAGGTTCTTCCCCAGAGAAGCCCTCTCTGACCTCTTCAAGAAAAGAAAAATTCCAGGGCACGTGGGTGGCTCAGTCCGTTAAGCGTCTGACTTCCGCTCAGGTCATGATCTCACTTGTGGGTTTGAGCCCCGCGTGGGGCTCTGTGCTGACAGCTCAGCCTGTTTCAGATTCTGTGTCTTCCTCTCTCTCTGCCCCTCCCCCACTTGTGCTCATTCATGCCTCTTTCTCCCTCAAATAAATAAACATTTAGAAAAGATAAAAATCGGGGCGCCTGGGTGGCTTAGTCGGTTAAGCGTCCGACTTTCGCTTGGGTCATGATCTCGCGGTTCGTGGGTTCGAGCCCCACGTCGGGCCCTGTGCTGACTGCCAGCTCGGAGCCTGGAGCTTGTTTCAGTCTGTGACTCCCTCTCTCTCTGACCCTCCCCTGCTCACGCTGTCTCTCTCTCCTAGAAATAAATAAAACATTAAAAAAAATTAAAAAAAAAAAGAAAAGATAAAAATCCCCTTTTATAGGGTCTCATAGCACCAAGTTCATCTTTCAAAGTGCTTGTCACAGCTGAAACTTTATATTTGCCTTTGAAACTATATAATTACTGTCTTCTCCCACCACAACCATATAAGCTCCATGAGGCAGGGGCAGAGGTCAGTTCTGTTTTGCCAACCATGGTGTCTCCGGCGCCTGGCACAGACTGGATATTCAGTGACTATTTGCTAGAAACAGAAAGAGCCGTCTAGAATTGGAATTTTGTCCTTTAAGGCATCAGTGGGTTCACAGGTACAGTTGTTCCAGGCCACTCTCTCCTTCTCCAGGTGGCTGTCACACGAATGTCCACTGACCGCCCATGAACACACCTGGAGAGCCCCGGTGTTTCAACCGCGTGCCCTCCCACACTGCCCCTCTTACCCTATCAATCAAAACTTTATCCATATTTTAAGACCCACACTTTGTTCAAGTGGCCCAAAGCCTTTCCTGAACATTTCAATCCACAGAGTTGTCTCCCTCTGATGAATTAATACTGTCTATAGTACATGTTGTGTACTCTCCACGTGGCACTTTACATTGTAAAGTAATGATTTATGTGAATATGCCTCATATTTCCAATTAGACCTAAGGTCCACAGCAAGCACCATACCTTGTATTTCTGGGTGGTTTTCGCAATGTCTAGCTCAGTGCAGTGAACAAAAGAATTACTCGGTTGAACAGGTCTATGCTGCATCCTTGATACACAATGGGCTACAAAGACCAAGCAGCCACTTGCTGTCTCCCCCCCAAAAAAAATGCAAATGACAAAATGACGTCCTACCACTTGATCCCCAAAAGCCTCTCATGGATACTGCCTCACTCTTAACAGTTTCCCACAACATAAGACTAGTTTTGGGTCCCCAGTGTAATTTTTAGCATGGAATAGCTGGCCATAAACATTCCCATGAACAGATAAAGACACAGATTTGAGAATAACAGAGGTGACACAACCTGATCACAGTGGTTTCCCAGGGAAACACTCAACTCCAAGAAGAAAACGGCAGACTGCAGCGACTTGCATCGCTCATTATTGAGCATTTACAATGTGCCTGTCACTATGCTACATAAATAAGCATTTTATATATACTTAACTCATTAAATGCTCACAACATTTTAAGGCATTGAAGAAATTATTATTTCTGTTTTAGAAATGAGGAAGCTAGATCTTAGGGAGGTTAAAAAACTTGCTCAAGGTTAACACTGACTGGCAATTTACTGGTGAGCTCAGCTACGACCCACAGACCTCTAACTTCATGATTTTAGGGCCCCTGCCCTACTGCCTCCCAACTTAGAAATTAGGACCAAAGCCTCGGGATGAGATTTCAACTTACTAGACTCCAAATGAAGGGTGTTTTCAAAAAATAAAATATATTAAATACAAATGACATTTTGAGGGCCCTCCAAGCCAGAGTGAGATATGAGATAGAACTTCCAAAAAAGTATACATTTTAATTACTCATATAATAATCACATGGCATTTCATATTTAAAGGGTAACACTCCAAATGAAGAAGCATTAAGATTTCAAAATAAAACACTTTGGGGGCACCTGGGTGGCTCAGTTCATTAAGCATCTGACTTCGGCTCAGGTCATGATCTCATGGTTTGTAAGTTCTCGTCCTGTGTCAGACCCTGTGCTGACAGCCCAGAGCCTGGAGCCTGCTTTAGAATCTGTGACACTCTCTCTCTCTCTCTCTCTCTCTCTCTTCCCCTTGCCCACTCATGCTCTGACTCTCTGCATCTCTCAAAAAAATAAATAAATGCTAAAAATTTAAAAATTAAACATTTTTAGGGGCACCTGGGTGGTTCAGTTGGTGCATCCAACTTTGGCACAGGTCATGATCTAGCGGTTCATGAGTTTGAGCCCAGCGTCCGGCTCTATGCTAACAGCTCAGAGCCTGGAGCCTGCTTCAGATTCAGTGTCTCCCTCTCTCTCTGCCCCATCCCACTCACATTCTTTCTCTCTCAAAAGTAAATAAACACCTTTAAAAAAAACACTTTTAGGGGCACCTGGGTGGCTCAGTCAGTTGAGCATCTGACTTTGGCTCAGGTTATGATCTCACAGTTTGTGAGTTTGAGCCCCAAGTTGGACTCAGAGACTGGAGCCTGCTTTGAATTCTGTGTCTCCCTCTCTGTCCCCTCCCTCACTCATGCTCTGTGTCTCTCTCTTTCTCAAAAATAAATAAACATTTAAAAAATTTAAAAACACTTTTAAAAATAAACAAAAATAAATAAAACACTCCCCATCCTACGTCAAAAACATAATTATTATTCATTATGTAATTAAGCAGACGATTGAAAACAGTGCCACTAAATTTGTTCACTTTCCATATAAACAATATACAAAAATCAAAATTGAGTTCATATCATAGCATGTGATGCCAACAGTCAGCCTCTTTTTCAGGTCTGTTTCCCAAAGTTCATGTGCAGTTATACTAATGAATGAAAATCAAATTATACAGATGAATGGAAATGACACTCATTCAACATCAGTCCTAAGAGAAGAAATACAAGTCAAAACAACGAGATATTGTTTTTCATCTGTCTGACCGAATACAAACTTTGATAATACTCAGTGACAGGTTATTGTACTCTCGTATGTAGTTACTGAGACTACTGAAATTGTTTCAAGTCCATTAACTTATTAATCCTTCTTTTATGAATTAGTTCTAAGGAAATAATCAAAAATGTAGTAAGATTCATGTTCAAGGATTCATGCCACTGGAGTAGCAAATTCACAAAATATTCACAGTGAGTATCTTCAGTCATTAGAATTCCAGATGATTTTTTTACATTTCTAATTTAATGTATTCCTATATACTTCCATTCAACTTCTAGTCAGTGTTCTAAACTTGCCCCAAACATTCAAAAAATACGACTAGCCAGCAAGATTACTGCTAATAGCAACAGGCAGGGTGAACTTCTGTCTTGTAACACATCCTCAGCTGTGTATTCCCCAAGAGGAGCTGTCCCCACATGAGAATTTCTAGCTTACTTGTTTCATATCTTGTTTAATCATCGTTTTTGAAATTAGTCAAGCCATTCAAAAGGCCACTTACCTGGGTTGGATGTGTATTGCATTGCAATCATTAGCATGGATGATGCAGACAGATTAACATGGGCAGGAACACCTTCTCTTCTTGAGGAGCCCACTGAAACAAAAAAATCTTTTGATTAGACACAATTAGTCTGTATGTAGACTTCTTGTCATGCAGCATGATAGCTGAGAGGAAACTTTTTGCTAAAGTCCGAATCAATTCAGTGGATGTTTTGCACAAATAAAACCACAAATTCTGTCCTCGCATACAAATATTACAACTGTCATGATCGACAGCAAACATTTGGTAAGAATCTCCAAGCAGGAGAAATAGTGCCATAGTGTGATGTCATAGTTTTATCAGAGAGGTACTTAGATGTGGTCTCTACTCCCAAGATGTTTATAACTAAGTGGAAAAGAGAAAAAACAAGATCCTCACGTGCTCAAATATAAAGGCAGGTTGAAGTATATACCAATAAAGGTAAAAATAGAAGGCTTATTTATTTTGAACTCAACTTGCATGTATCACCTTTCAGAGATGCAAGTGAAATAATCGTCCACTTACAGTGGGGACCTTATTGATTCAGTTAACACATAATTTTCAAATCACGTATTATAAAAAGAAACTGTCTATTAATTTAAACATCATTTCAGCTCTCACATATCACTAAACAATTTTATTCAAACCTTTACATTTAACTCATCAGCAGCACCTTCATCCCCATGAGAACCACTTTTTTAGTTTTCCAGAGCTTACCATCTTCAAATCCAACCAAGTTGTTTGAAAGAATGCAATCTTTTTGAATCGGTAAAGAACACTGTCACCAAACATTTTAACCTGTGCCACATGTACTCAGTTATAAAGCAAGCTGGTTTCTTCAAAACTCATAGCTGTGTATCCATGATCTCCACATGATAATCGCTTACATACTGCTTTTAAGACATCTTTAAGTGGCTCGTTTATGGTGCATCCAACAGTATATTACATTTCTTTTCCTCTCCTTTTTAGTGATACATCAGGGAACTCCAAAAAACATTCAAAACTAGCAATGATGGAGGTCATTTGGGATAGTACTCCACAGAGCTGCTTCCTCCAAAGAGTACTTTGTTATTCTAACCAGTAATGGAGAGAGGGCTCACATAGGAGAAACTTTAAAAGCACTCAAATATCAAATGAATTCCTTCTCTCAGGGATAATTGCAGAAGTAGGAGAAATCTCTCCTTATATTTAGGCTTTGTGGCAGATCATCAAGAAAGCCTGAGCAGAACAGTTTACAGTGAGTATGACACCCTCAGTCAACTCTCAGTTTCCGCCACACAATAGAGAAAAACACTAATGTGGGCAACAGCAAAAAAGCAGATGACCCACAAATCTGCTTGATTTTATTTTATTATATTTTACATTAAAGTACCATACGTGGAAATAATATCTCACTTCCATCCATAAAGAATAAAGCAACTTATAATAATACACATGGATAAAAGAACCATTAAAACACTACTACAAGATTTGTCAGGTAATAAGGGAGAGAAGACAGAAAATTTAACATGATGCTATTCTTTTTTTTCCGTAAAGGAAAGACTTTGAGCACCACAATGGATGGTGACCTTTCAAAAGCTTTACAGACATAAGCAAACAAATAAAGAAAAGAGATCTATCGTTATGTTCTATTTACCTGAATTTACTTTTATTAATCACTCACAGCTGGGATGCTGCTACTCCCACCAAGCAGGTGATATTCAGGCAGATAAACTAGTTTGGCAGTACAATATAAATGAGTACTAATAATTATACATAGATATGCAAATCAGGCCAATGCTCTTAGATGGTAACGATTAATCAAGTGAGATGAATCAAAGGAAGAGAACTTTGAGCCAAATACTAAAGAACAAGATGCATTTGCTCTCAGACTTAGCCAGGGAGCTTGAGAAAATTCAGCTTTGGGGCCCATATCTAGAGTTTAACTCCATCAGTTTGAAAGCAGAAAAGGTACGAGTTTAAGAAGCACATCATATGACTCTGATCAAGCGGGCCCTGAGGCTCATGGGAGAAGCATTACTAGAGGGATAGGAAATAAGAAAGGAAGCACTCAGTAAAGTGTCCAGATGCGGGAACAAGTGTTGATGCCCCTGTGCCCTTTGTTCAGGGAAGGGGGTGGGGGTGCGGGGTGGCAGGAAAGTCTAGCCTCTGACATACTCGAGGAAAAATAATTACATATATTTAAATAATTATATATGTGTGTACACACACACACACACACACACACACACATATGGTCCTCCTGGGACGAGTGTTTTCACCTTTGTTTAAATTCATCTGAAACTTTTTAATAATAAATGTTTCTTTAAAAACATAATAAAACGACTCTTAAGGGAGTCTGAGAATCCCTGTGCCTGGAAGCCTTTAAAACTGGGAGAGATGCCCAAAATGTCTCAATGATTTAGGTGAAGTCTATTTGGAGACTAGCCCAAATGGCCCTGCGACCTTTGCATGTCCCTTTTACCCCTGCTGATCTGTGCTCTCCGACAAGTATGGTCAACCACAAAGCTAAAAGTGTTCCCCTGGTTCAAGCCCTCGGAAATTGGCTCCAGGACCTCTATAAACAGACAGAGCCTTGCAATTGCTTAGCCATCTGACAGACTGAATAAAATCACCACAATTCTAATTAATAAATGTGCAGAGGCTCACATCATATATTGAATCTAGGTAAAAAGGCATGATGTGAACACATGTGCAGCTTGTCCCCGTGAGGGTGTATAAAGCCAAAGCTACATACAATGGAAGGAAGAAGAGAATTAGTCAAAATAAGAAAACTTTACATGTAATATTGTGCTCAGGAAATACAATTAAAAGTTTTAAGACCTGTTTCCTGATCCTCCAGCACCATAAAAACAACCATTTCTAACCTTTCCTCTATGAGCTGAAACAATTCCTTAATCTGTTCCTGCATCTTATAGTTCCTAATATATTGTTGTGTACAGTTCTCTTATATGATGCCCACCCAAAAAGCAGGTAAGTATATGGGGAAGGCCATTTTATAAAGAGAAATCAGATTATTTACATGAGAGTACCAACTTAATTATTAGGACAAGAGCCCAAGTCACTTAACGTCATAGCTAATGTTCTAGTGACTTATTCATTCAAAATTCATTTAAAAATTCAAAGAACACTCTTCCCATACCTCCCATGTACCAGGCATTGTTGTTTCCCTGGTGAACAACAGTTTACAGCCATAAACAAGACAGGTAAGCCTTTGTCCTCATGAAGCTTAAATGCTCAAGCTCTGCCATCCAATATGGCAGCCACTAGCCACATGTGGCTATTTAAACTCAAATTAATTAAACTTCAACTAAATTAAAAATTCAGTTTTTCAGTCTCACTAGATACATTTCAAGTCCCCAGTTGCCATATGTGGCTAGTGTATTGAACAGCATGGGAGTTTTTTAAAACATTTCTATCACGCAGAAAGTTCTATAGACAGAGCCGTTCTAGAGAACAGGCAAACAAGTACCCGAAGAAATGTAAAGGAGGGCAAGGGAATAGGTAGAAAGTGATGGAGGGTCCTGTTTTAGCTTGAGGGTAATGAAAGGCATCTTGAAAGGCGAGACACTTGAGCTGAGACCTAAGGTGAGTGAGGAAGAATCATAATGACCATTTGGGACAAGGACTACTGTGACACAAGAAAGCTTAGTGCCTTTAGGAAACTGCAGAATGGCTAATGTGGATTGGATGGAGTGAACATAGAAGAGACAGTAATGAAACGCTAAGGTGAGCAGTGCCCAGAGCACAGAGGGCTGTGTGGCGTAGGGAAGGACGCTGAATGTGATTGGTCAGAGTGATGGAAAGTGATGAAGGAAGCGACATGGTCTGATTTACGTGTCTGGAAGATGGCTAAGGCTCTTTGGTGGAGAACAACTGTAGGATTGCTAGGAGTAGAAGCAGGGAGACCAGTTCAGAAACTTCTGGACTGGTCCAGGTGAGAGATGGTGGTGAGAAGTGGTCTGAATTGGAATATATTTAAATAAACCCCACTAGCCTCATTCTTTTTTAAAGGGTAAAGGTAAGAGAGTCATCTGGGAAGAAGAAACACATTCTGGTGCCATCCAATAGAACCATTTCCTGTGCCTGGCCAGACTGCATTGCCTGAATTAACAAGCGTCTCTGTGTAAGCAGAGGTATTTCTGTTCCATGAGATGGACTTTGAGCATAAGATACCTATGCCTTCAGAAAGGCCTATCAGTTCAACATAATGGGAAGACTGCAACACCATGGCCCAAAAGTCAATGCAGCATTAAATATTTGTAAACTGCTAGATCAATGAAAATCATAGAGACAAGAGTGCACATCAACAATGCAGAGGTGAAGGGCCTGACTGGCTCAGTCAGTAGAGCCTGCAACTTAGATCTCTGGGTTGTAAATTCAAGCCCCACGGTGAATGTAGAGATTACTTTAAAAAAAAATAAAATCTAAAAAAAAAAATGCCAACACGTTCTGTCAGATTCTATGAGATCAAAACCTATTCTGGTCTTTATTATCACTATACAACAAATTCTGGGGGTAAAAAATCCCAAGACCCAAAGGCTGGCCCCTTTTCTCAAGCAACGTTTAAATGATAAAACTTCAGGACAACATGTGAGTTGGCGCAGAATATTGGAATTACTTGCAATGGATGTGACATGTCCCTAATATGGCTATGGATTTGGTCTGTTATATATTTGTCTAACATGTTACAATATTCAAAGGCCATTCCTGTATGTTATCTCCTGGTCTTCATGACAAACATGTGGTACAGGCAGGGGAGATCATGATAATTCACAATTTTACAGCTAAGGAAACTAAAGCTTGATGAGGTTAAGAGATCTGCCCATTGGTGAAAGACCTTCTGGGTTTCTATTCCAACATATTTCCACCAACTGAATAATAAAGCTCTTAAAGAATAGTAAGGCTTAACTTTATAAAAACAATCATTAGCTGATAAAACAAGTTTTAGATCTAGAAGAATATTTAAATGTCATCATATGTGGTGTTGGGCCCTGACTGTCTTTTTATATATATATTTATTAGTTTTCAGAGGATCATAGAAGCATCACAGGCATCCTCTGTAATAATAGAAGAAAAATGGTCCACGGCTAATAGCCTGGAACCAGTATTCAATTAGACCCCACAACTGCTTTCAAGTCAATGCAAAGATCTAAATGAACCTTTATTTTTTCTAAGGTAAGTGACTTTTTGAGGAAATTTAAGTTGGAGGAGACTACACAGTCTAGGCTACCAAGATCCACTAGAAGGGTCTTTCACTGATATCATTGTTCAGCCTTACTATCATCTCTGAAATAACAGAGCCTATATCAATTAATGTTCATTTAGGATCAGCTTTTCTCTTCTCTGCCAACGTCCATATCATCTTCCCAACGTCCATATTTCAAGTTGGTCCGCAAATCACAGACCCTTTATTGGAAAAAGAGAGGTTTCCACGGTGAAATGCTAATGACTTTTTCAGTTTTTAGTAATCCTTTAATTTTTTTTTTTAAAACAGAGCCTGTTGCACACATTTGGAATACAAAGAAGTATATCTTATTTGTGGAAGGAGTTAAAAAGATTATTTCAGAAGAAATTTTCATAATAAATTGCAGTTTCCTCCACAGCATCTCAAAAGGAGTGATTTAAAATAAAGCCACAGTGCCAGATTTATTGACAAAAATGAAAGAAGGACAAATGGATAAACGTGCACAGCCCTTACACAGGAAGAGCGGTAATACTTCATTAGATCCGCTTAGAGCTCGGCGCTTCATACTGTAGGTTCTTTTTTTTTTTTTACAAATAGTTTATTGTCAAATTAGTTTCTACATAACACTCAGTGCTCATCCCCAAAGTGCCCTCCTCCATGCCCATCCCCCCCCCCCCCCACACCCATCAGTCCTCAGGTTTGTCAGCATTCAAGAGTCTCTCATGGTTTGCCTCTCTCCCTTTCCCCCACCATTTCCGCCCTTCTTCTCCCCCTTGTTCCTCCTTCAAGTTCCTCCTAATCCTCCTATACGTGCAAACATATGATATTTGTCCTTCTCTGCCTGACTTATTTCGCTCAGCATAACCCCCTCAAGGTCCATCCATGTTGCTACACATGGCCAGATTTCATTGTTTCTCATTGCCATGTAGTACTCACGCCAGTCAGAGTGGCTAAAATGAGCAAATCAGAGAACTCTAGATGCTGGCGAGGATGTGGAGAAACGGGCACCCTCCTACACTGTTGGTGGGAATGTAAACTGGTACAGCCCCTCTGGAAAACAGTGTGGAGGTTCCTCAGGAAACTAACAATAGAACTCCCTTATGACCCAGCAATAGCACTGCTAGGAATTTACCCAAGGGATACAGAAATGCTGATGCATAGGAGCACATGTACCCCATTGTTCATAGCAGCACTCTCCACAATAGCTAAAACATGGAAAGAGCCTAAGTGTCCATCAACAGATGAATGGATCAAGAAGATGTGGTTTATCCATACTGTAGGTTCTTAATGACACAAACATTTAACACCTGAAAAACTGCCCACATTTTACATCTTGACCTTGTGAATACCACACCAAAGAGATAAAAGCCATCTTGTCTTAAAGGCTTTATGAAACACTCAGAAAATGCAGCCTCCTTCACCCTAACATCTCGGTCCTGAAATAAAAACATTCTGGAAGAGTTAAATGCCCCTCTCTCGTTTTGGTCGCAATTTCTAGACCCCGAAACAACTTCCAAAGACAGAAACAACATGGATGCAGGCAACAGATACATGTTCTCACATCAATTCCTTTACACGTGATTAATCTGGAATCCGATCCCCTCGTTCTTTGGGTCTGTGTCTTCGCCAAGAAACAAATACAAAAACAAAAAACAAAACAAAACAAAAACACCTCAATCGTTTAAGAGAATAGGCTGGTTTTAGCCTATCTAGGCACCTGGGTGGCTCAGTGGGTTATGTGACCAACTCTTGACTTCAGCTCAGGTCATGATCTGGTGGTTCCTGAGTTCAAGCCCCACATCAGGCTCTACACTGACAGTGGAGAGCCTGCTAGGGATTCCCGATCTTCCCTCTCTCTGCCTCTCCCCAACTCATGTGCACGTTCTCTCTCAAAAATGAACTTTTTCTTAAAAAGGGCATTACTACCATTTATTTTCAAAGATTTAAAGGTTCCTCAACCCACAGAGATGGTGACAATAAATGGAAGTCACAAGGAAGAAACTAAAACCAGAGCAGTAGAGATAAATGAATTAGATCAACAACTGGGTTAGAGGAAGATGTGTGCCTCTTACATAAAATAAGATTGATGTTATTTAACCTAGAATTAGTAAGCTAGAAATAACCTTAGAGATGGAACATGCTTTCCAAACCTCTCCTTTACAGCCGAAAAAACAAGGGAGTCCCAGAGACATAAACAGCTTGTTCATAATTTAAATGAACACCAAGTTACTCTACCAATAAGTATTAAAATTCACACACATTTTGTAGACTCAACTCAGTATTTTGTTCTCCTCAGTTGCCAAGGCTCACACATTTAAATAAATAAGGATTCTAATGTGACTTTAAGGCATGTTTTGGGGTCTGTGCTTCTAATTAAGTAGAAATTAATAACCAAGGATGAAGAAGCAAATTGCCAGTCATCACAATGCTTGATCAGTGTGAAGCATAACTTCAGAGGCCTGACATATTCAACACCTTTCCCTAAACAATTAACTTATTCCTAAGGAGGGTACAGTGAATTTAGATTAATTATTACAAAGATGCTCCCCACCTGTAATTCTTTAAAAAAAAAAAAAAAAGAATTCCTATGTCTAAATTTCACAGTTAACATAACTATAAAATTCTAAGACTGTATCAATAAGCAAGTGCTTGTCAGTTTACAAAGAACAAAAAAAAAAGAGAAAATGATCAAATATTCTATTACTTGAACCATATCATCAGTCTGCTAATGTTTTTGAATCGCCATAAAGTTGAGGCAGAAGTGAGACTTTTTGCAAGACATGAAAACTACAATTCCCTAGCTAAAATTAAGCTTGACTGTAAAATAAGTAATGTAGCTCAAAGGTACCTATGTTTGCCAACTACTTTTACATAGCAACAACTTTAATAAGATCATAAGTACATAAAGTTAAAATGGTGAACAAAAGTCACTAGGAAATGAATGTGACCAATAAAGGTATTTTAATGGAACAAAAGTTGAGGGAAGGAGAGCAGTAAACTGACACTTAGTGAACACTTGGCATCGAGCTAGCCAGCACCTTACCAATATTCCCGGTGAATCATCTCCATTATCATAACCACCCAGGCAGCTACTATGATTATTCTCATTTCATAGGTAAGAAACAGAAAGGTTAGGTAACTTGACTAGGGCCACACAGCTAGTTTGGCAGCAGAGCTGTGATTTAAATATACATCGGTTTGACTTTAAATCCACAATCTTTTCAGGTTATCCAATGAAATATATAGATTGATTCATAATCTAGTTCTGTTTTTGTTTTTTTTTTTTTAAGAGAGAGAGAGAGTGTGTGCACGAGCAGGGGAGAGGGGCCTGGAGAGAGAGAGAGAGAGAGAGAAAGAGATTATCTTAAGCAGGCGCCACGCTCAGCCCAGAGCCCAATGATGGGCTCAGTCTCACAACCCTGGGATCATAACCTGAGCCGAAATCAAGAGTCAGACATTCAATCAACTGAGCCACCCAGGCACCGCTCATAATCCATTTGTTTAAAAAATACATTAGAAGGATTTTGATCATAAAAACCACAACCCAGTCTGGTTTTTTCTCTTTGCTCTCACGTCTGGAAAGCCTATTAGAATTAAGCCTGTAAAAGTGAAACAGAATTCAAATCAGCTCCACATTTATAACAGAAAATTGCACATGAGTTGCAAGCCATTTTCCGAAGTGTTTTCATACATTTTGACTCATTTTATCATCACAACATCCCTGTCACAGGAAGCTAATGCTAGCATCATTTTGGAGATGAGATATCAACCATGTGAGATGCCTAGCACCACACAGCACATTTACAAGTGAAGCTGAAACTAGGATCTATATGTCCTGACACTTTCTATTGCTCTTCCCATCACAACCTTCTGCCTTCAGATGCAAAAGATAAGAATTCCTATACCTGAGGCAGCACTCTCTCCATACTTTTTCCTTGTTACACAAAATACCATAGTTTCTATATAGGTAATACAGACTGTGCATTGATATGTTTTCTTCCTACCCTATAAGATCAAAGTATGCAAATAAAACAATTCCAAGGATTAATCATCATTCATTCTTTGGTTCTCTTCATAATCATCATGCTGAAATGACAATTTAAATCATAGCACATGGATATAGCAAGTGATTCCATTATAATCTTGAAACTCTACAGCCTGAAACAGCGAAAGCAATTTCCATTCATACAATATGTTAAAAGAATCTAGTATTAGGTAAGATTGAACTTACATATAGCCATTGGTAGAAAAGATGTGCTAAGATATTCAATAATATCCTTGTGCAGAAATGGAGGAAAGGTAGCTAACGTTGATATCATCGTGTAGGGCAAAGTACTCAGAATATCATCATTGAGAAAGGGTAGCAAACATGTAGTTGTATAAAATATCGACTGTCCAAGATCTACAAAACAAAAGTGAGTAATCAGTCACGGAATATTTTGCCATTTAACAAAATATGCTAATTCTATATTTTTAGTTCTATGAACTGGCTTAAATTATAAGCAGCTTTGCTGCCTTCTTATGAAGATTTCTGAAACATTATGCTCAGTAGAGTGCATAGACAGTGTATTTGTTCAATAAATGACTGGTGAATGACTGAATTAAGAAAAATAAATATCGATTTCATGAAGCTTTTCCTCATACTCTATCAATCTTCAGCAATACTGGGTATTCCCATTATTCCTTGATTTTAGAAACTAAAAGCACTTTCCACATGATCAAAAATCCTGAAATGTCGCCTAGCATTCTCACCTCCATAGATTTTAACTGTGGCACAAAGATGCTACATTATTTCCCCACTGGAAGTTTTAGCAAAGTCAAGGGCAGGACTGGAAATAAAGCCAGGCTATCCCTGCTGCATCAACCAAAAGCTACAGTCTTTCTACATCTCGAGTCTTGGGCAATGAGGGAACAGGCACCTTCAAGGACAGCAGCATAGTTTGCAGGTGCCAAAGAAAGGAAGCTGTAAACTGATGCTGTGTGGTCCTGTGCGTTCAGTTATCAATTATTACAGAAGAACGTATGACCTAACAGTAATCTTTCTATCAACATCTTTAATGGGGAGAGGAAGAGTACCTACCTCACTTCTAGAAGGGCTGTTAGGAGGCTTAAATGAGATTAGTACAGAGTGCTTAACACAGCACATAATGTGTGCTCCACAAATATGAGCCATTGTTATTAATATTAATAGTTACTATTATTACCTGCACAAGGAGCAAAAATAAAGGACATTCAAAAAAACATAACTATTTAGCTTTAGAATGCATGTACACCAAATCTCAATACACTGAATACATCTATTTGTTTTTAAGTAGGTTTCATGCCTAGCACAGAGCCCAACATAGGGCTTGAACTCACACTCCTGAGATCAAGACCTGAGCTGAGATCAAGAGTCAGATGCTTAACCGGCTGAGCCATCCAGACAGCACTGAATATATCTTTTGATATTTCTGGATCTCCCAATATGTGTGTCACTAGGACTTGACAGTGAAGACTTGGATCACTTTCCTGTCCATTATAAAAAAAATTATTCCATTTGTTTGTTTCGCAGCAGATTTACCTTCTTAGTGCAATTTTGATGCCTAATGTTACTTCCAATTATCATTGGAACTAACATGCCATCTCAATGAGCACATCAACTGACAACAGCGAGGGTGAGGCCACATTGCACGATGGTGAGCAAGGGCCAGTAAACCTTGGGCTCAAGCTAATGAGACACAAAATTCATGGGTGTTTTACTAAGAATTAAATGAGGCAGTGCATAAAAGACACTGCAGCTGCACTGTAGCCTGGTTACAGAACATTAGTGCTGAAAGGGGCCTGAGAGCCAACCTGGAATATCTTTCAAGTGAGGAAACTGAGGCCCGGAGAAGGAAAGTGATGGTCCAAGATCTCCTGACAGCTGGCCCCTGAACTGTGTCAAGACTGTGGCTCTCACCAGTGCACGGCCCTTCCCCCTCGGGAGACACAGCCTCGAGCCCTCGTACGGTAGTTCACAAGCACAGTACACAAAAGAATCACCCAGAGAGCTCAGTAAAAATCTGGATCCCCAGGACACACTCCTCAGCAATTCTTATTCCTAAATCCCCGTGTGGGATCCAGAATTTCATATTCAAGCTCCCTCGGTGATTCCAATGTTGTCAGGAAACACTGCTGTACTGCTTTTTAACCTCTAAGGGAGAGTCCAGTTCTTTCCTCTCTTCTAAGAATAAATACACAGTCTACAGAGAACAGTGAAGCATAAAGTCGCAACAAAGTTGTAGGTATAAAAGCAAATATATAAATCATCCCCTCTGAAATTGTTGTAATTTAACACAGTTGAATTGCAGTTAACTGGATTGTGAGTTACCAAACTGAATGTTTTTTATCTTAATAAAGGGGCTCTAACACAGTGGCCCAGTCCACGACCACCGGCTGGTCTACACTGACCTCAGGACTGGTTGTCACAAAGGAAAAGTATTTATGAGCCCACCACCACGGTAGGCTCTGTCAGTCTTATGTTCAGAGAGTCATCTCTTTGAAATTCTGAGTGGGGATAGGGAACACAGTAAAAAGTGACTGGGTTCAAAACACCTACAAAGTTACACAACAAGCAAATTTACAAATGTCTACATTTTTTAAATATTCACTACAATACAGAACTGTAAATATAAGAAAAAAATCAAATTAAGTAATCATTATTCCATCATTTTTAAGAAAGTGGATTTTTTTTTAATTATTTAATTAGGAACACATTTTGCTCAGTAAACCATTAAGCATTCTTTCAGAAGAGTTAGCTATAAGTAAAAGGCAAAATAACCCCCACAACCCACTCATTTCCCAAATTCCAATTTTTCTATACAGTGAAACTGGGTTTTTTACTTCCAGGGACCAAATTATCAGTGTTTTCAAGTTAAAACAATGTTTTAACCAATGTTTTAACCATTCATTCTCTGCAAAAACCCCTTTTCTTACTGCATGCATGGTTTTCCATTTGATTCTCACAAATATAATATTGAATAGTTAAGCAATAGACATTATACTCCTTTTTATGGGTTAGAAGAAGATGGTAAGCAAGCGAGATAATGGCATTGGCTAAAACACACTGTGCAAAGGGAAAGCAGTAGGCAAAGAAGCACATTCTTAGGCCTCTGTCCTGACGCACCACTAACACTGTGTAGTATATGCCACACACAGCTTATAGGAACACCATACATCATACTAAGGACCAACACTTTGTAATAACTAGTGATTGCTGGTTAAATTTGGAAGAGTTCTTAGAGATTTCTTCTTACCGAACCTCCTGGGTTTAAAAGACAGGACAAGCAAGTCCCAGGGAGATTCAGTGATTTGCTCTGAGAAATCACAGAATTAGTCAATGGATTTCACCTGTTCTTCAGACTCCACCTCTTACATTTTTGGGGGGGCAAGTTTCTAAATCTTAGCCCACAAATCATAATTTCAACGAGCACCTCCGTGATAAGCAGATTAGGAGAAAAAAAGGCAAGTTCTCATTATATCTCTACTCTTTCTTCCATCCCGTTCCCCTCCAAATGTAGGCCCACCTGGGTCACATCCCTCTGGTCATAAAAGAGCAAAAAAAAAAAAACAAATGACAGAACGGGAAATGCCATAATTCAGTTTCCATATAAGAAGGGTTTTAGCCACACAAAGACCTTTCAAGCAATTTATTACAATAACCATGGTCTCCAGCATCCATAAACATACGTGTACGTTCTCAAAGGTTTTGATTAAATGCTCACCGTGTTGGCCGTGCTGGAGTAAAGGAACTAGATCCAGAAGAGTCACCAAAGTCACGTAGAGGCCTTGATAGTCCAAAGAAGGGTAGTCTGACAAGTGAGCATCACGACTTTGCAGGCCACGTTCAGAGGGAGCCTCTCGCAGGACGCTGTAAAGGAGGGAGCGAGTAACAGTGGGGTTGATGGAACTGACCTGCGGTCTTAGAGATGGGGTGAGTGGGAATGGCACAGGAAAAAGACACATGGTCATGGGCACTGTCAAATTGGAGGCATCTTGGTTTTCCTTCTTCCCTGTGCGGGACAAAATGCTGTTGGGGGGACAAGGAAAAAAAAGAGACAACAAAGACACAAAGAACAGCACATTACATTGAAATGACACTCTAAAACAAATAATAAAACTCCAGATATATCCCACATAAGATGCAATTGCCACACCAGCAGCGTCTACGCATCAAGTAGGGGTCACATAGCTTCGTGCTCAGAGATACTAATAACGTACGGTTTCTTTGGCAGAAATTGCATTGCATCTCATGTGTTATCTGGTTAGTAAGGAGCAAAAATATAAAAATGCATGTTTCAGTGCCAAACCCATGTTTTACAGTTTATCGGTTTGGTGAAGGAGAGGTTTCCTCGAAGGAAAAAACCATGGTTTCATCTAATGAATTAGGGCTTTTATTACTAATGAAAACGAGCTTTCAAGGCAAAGGAAGTTTTCAGCTGGACGGTCTTAATCAGGTAAATAAAAACCTGCAAAATATAGGTATGGCACTTGCAGAAACATGTTTTAGCAAAGAATAAACATGTGTGTTTATTAAGAAAGTCTTAAAAATCACATGTTTATTGCATCAAAATAATGTCTATATGTTTATTATGATACTGTTTCATGACATTCTGTCAGTATCATTTGAGATAATGAGGTTTAAACAGGCATATGAATTTAGAAATAATACATATTTCTAAAATGTTAGCTAAACTACATTGGAAAAGCTATAAAATAATATATAGTAGATGGTCTGTAGCATATGCTTGTGAACTAATGATAATGGTTATTTATGTGTGTTTTTTTAATTTTGCATGTTGGGGAGGAAACATTTTATTTTATGAATACAAACAGCGGTTTATTAAATAGTTACCTTCAAAATTCTAAAGACTAGGCAAGCAGTATCTGCCATATAGCTGCACATCATACAATAGTATCTCATGTATTACTGCTGCTACTTACGTTATTATTCAACAAAACTCACTAAAAACTAAAGGAAAGATAATTTAGAAAGATAAAATAAAAGTTTAATGGGAATAAAAGTAAACTCTAGAAATAAACTGGCTTTCTTTTAGCCTTCATTTTTAAATAAAAACCTTTTAGTAAAAGCAATAGAGCAGAAAAGTTGTTAATTTAAAAATGGAAGAAATGACTGCTTGGCCAGATGTTTAAGTTTTTAAAATTAGGTTTACTATTTATCATTAAAGACAATAGCTATACATTATAATGATAATCTCTGCTGCACTTACAAAGTGCTTTTATATAGTACACTTATATGTTAATCAAAATAGATAACAATTTATAAATGTTTCATTACATAAAAATAACCTTGTTT